TATCAAAGTATCAAAACATCAATTACAACACTAATCCCTCAATAATACACAAGATTAAGATGTAGAAAGCATGCTTGGGGCTAACTCTAACCCCAAGAGGATGTCTAGCCACTCATGGTGATGATGCTCCAACCCTCAAGGGTTAACTCCATGGAAGAGGTTTGCTCCTTGTTGATGAAGAGTCTCCAATGGTGTCTCTAGCCTCCTCCTCCTTTAAGCTTCCTCTCCAAGAGATGATATGAAAGTAAAGTTCTCCTCTTTTTGAAAAAGTAATCCTTATCCTTATATAGGTAGGTCAAAATGACACCCAAAATGAGCTGAGGTCGTGCACACAATATGCCCTAATGATTGGATAAAGGACAACTTTCAATGAGATGGAATTTTAACTTTTTCGCACTGCAGGAAGTTCGATCGATAGAAAGTAAGTGAGATCAATCTAACTTAGGCTGGATCGATCCATCTGGCTGAGCTTTTTGGAAAAAGACAAATCCGAAATATTTATGGGAGATATTTATGGGGAAAAGGACAAAAGTAAAATGCATATTCCCATCAATTATGTACGTTAATGAAACAAATGTATAATGTTTATGTGTGCAAAAGGTCAAAAGAGATAAATCAGTTTTCCACGATTTGTCTATTGTTCGGAGTTGCAGGCTTATTTCGTTGTTAAAGGATCTGGATCTTGACGTTGGATTTGGAGATTTACAATCACATGTATTTATACTTAGTTACTTTATTTATGCGTTATAGATATGTAAAAATAATAAAATTTTAAAATTTATGTTTATTTGTAATTAATGATTTGTACGAATAATTAGAGTTTAGATTTCTTTCATATCTATATAAGTGGACAATTGAAAAAGTACTAAACGATGACTTTGCATTCATATGGAAGAAATCAACAAGAAAAGTCAAAAAGTTGCAACATTTAAGAATTGAACATTTAGAAGTCAGGAAACGAATCATCCATATCCTATCTATTGAAAAAAAAAAAAAAAAAAGGAATAAAATTGTAGAGGTTGGCGATGAAGAATTGGTTTGAGAGAGGAAGTGAAATAAGTGAGACAGTGGGGGCAATGAGGGAATCAGGGCATTTTTGGTATTTTACTTTAATAAAATAATAGTAAAGTTCCAAGTACTATTTTGAAATGCCAATATCAATATCAGGACCTATAAAAAAATAGATATCTATTTTAATTTTTTTTTAAAAATAGAGTTTTTATATTGAAAATTAGTGATTGAGAGTGAAAAAATGATCAAACATGTAACTGAAATTAATTCGGTTGAACTTAGAATTTAATTTTCTGATTAATGGTTGCGAGTATGAAATGAGAAGAAAACTTTTGAATTTAAGATTATTTTGTTTCATCTTAAATATATAAACATGTATATAAAGGCTGGATATCTACAACCATGCGTATAAGTTGATATATAGATCTGTGTATTGTACATCTATAATTAATTCGTATTGTACACCGGCCTATTGGTCATTTTTGTTTCTTGTTTGTTTAAACATATTCCTATTTTGTTTAAACAACATTACTCATATTGGTGCACGGTTGTAAATGTCTTTTATATTTGGCTTGTTAATAAAACATTATTTGATCTTCCTCACTGATGCAACGTTTGCTGCTAAGACAATTAATGACTTTACAGTAAACATAATTTTATGATTAACCGGTCATATCCAGGGGCGAAGCCGTATCCAAACTGATTTGGCAAAGGTTGTTCGCCTTAATTATTTGGTGCACGGTTGTAAATGACTTTACAGTAAACATAATTAAGGCCACTGGATATGACTACATTAAACATAATTAAGGCCACCGGATATGAATTTTCAGATTGGTGCACCGTTGTAAATGACTTTACGGTAAACATAATTAAGGCCAACAACCTTTGGCAAATAATTAAGGTCAACAACCTTTGCCAAGAAAATTGCTGGTTATGCCACTGGATATGACCAGTTAACCAAAAGGCGACTCATATAAAAATCCGATGTGGTTATTCTAAAATTTAAACCCTTCATAATATAACTATTTTAAAAATTTTCTAACTCAAGTACGATTTTTTTCATAATCTCATTATATTAAAATTTCATTTCATACATAATTTTTTCCTTCTTTATTTTTTTATTTTTTTTATTTGTTGTATTTAGAAAAATAAAAAAACAAACTCTTTCTATCTATATATATATATATATATATATATATATATATATATATATATATATATATATTCTCATTTTCAAAAACTCGGTTTTTATATCTATGGAATGTATTGGAATGCTTCTATAAGAATTCTATAAAAAATTAATTTATACAAAATCTAAAACAGAATTTTCATTTGAAGTTTTGAATATTAATAAAAATCCATGATTGAAGGACTTAAAGTCTTATTTTATTAATTTTTTTGTGCTTTCTTTCATAGTTATTGTTTTGTTAAATTTTCAATTGTTAATTTATTTAAGAGTTTTTTTTTTCTTTTTCTTTTTCTTTTCAGTAAGTAAAGAGGGTTAATTTTGTTAATTTATTTTTGGAGAGTTTTTGTTTTAGAATTTATTTTGATTTTAAATGGGACAATGTTAAGCTACTCATACCCTACTCACCCCTTATATGTTCCAATAAAAATATAACACATTTGTTTTAATAACAAAATCAACAAAATTAATAAAAAAGTCGGATCTACTCGTTTTAATTAGGTAATCACCACTTCTCTTTTCTTTTTCTTTTTTTATCGGTTCTCAAACCCATGCCCTCCTCTCTTCATTTTTCTTCTTCTTCACCTTTTCTCTTTTTCGTCGTTTTCTTTTATACCTATGGTGTTGGTGAGTGTGAGAGTCCAGATGGTTTAGAGGTGGCTCTATCTGCCTTTTTGTTGGACTAACACTTTGTCAACAACTGGAAAATTTAATTTTCAAGTTTCTACCCAAATGACCACAAAATCTTTTCTTCCCTGTTCTGTCAACAGCAAAACTATAAATCTGACAAAACTTTTAGAAAATTGAAATGGAAAAAGATTGTTTGTTTTATGAAATTGAGCCTAATATATATACATATATTGACCAGCATATGCTGATATCCTCATATAGTGACGCTGAACACCTTTAATTTCAATTTTTGTTCTGAATTTTGTATTTTAAGATTTGAAATTTAAGAAGTTTGGCTGTTTTTTTTTTTTTTTTTCATGAGAGGGAAGTATATTAGGTTTGGAAGTATTGATAGAAAATTCGACTGTAAAACAAAAATAAATAAATAAAATGTGAATGATATTAAAGGTGAAAGTGAAGCTATTCACCAGTGGAGAGAAAGCTATGAAAAAGAGAAAGGGTGAAGAAGAAGAACAGTGGAGAGAGGAGGGCGTGGGTTTGGGAATGAATGAAAAAGAGAGAGAAAAGAGAAAAGGTGATTACCCAATTAAAAAGGGTCGATCAGACTTTTTTCTCCTTTTTTTATAATTTTGCTGATTTTATTATTAAAGTTGATGTGTTATATTTTTATTAGAACACATAAAAAGTAAGTAGGGTGAAGCTACTTACTAATGAGTAGTAGGTAAGCATTATCCTTTTAAATGACCTACTTTTACTCTGTTACATAAAGTCAGTGAAATATCGGTTTTGTATTTCTCGGCTAAATAACAACCTCTTTCTTTCCTATTCTCTCTTCCACCATTCTCTAACATTTCCTTCCTTTCATGGCCTCATACTACAATCACATATCAGAAATTCCTTGATTAATTACTTTACCCAAAATCGACAACTAAAACAAATAAATAATACCAACAATATTGTATTAGACATGGATCATTAAAGTCGCGATGATCTTAAATTCTTAATAATCTCAACATAATATGAAATTGACTTTCAAATTTATAATACTTTCTCACATCTTTCTTCTTTTGTTTTTGGCTCCCCCTCTAGGTGCCAATATCATAAAACCTTGAGACTTTTTATTGTTTTATTATTATTATTATTTATTTATTTTGGAAGCTTGAGGCTTTGTATTGTCGGCTTCATAATTTTCTTTCATATCTAAGTATGTATTCATATGGAAGAAATCAACAGGAAAAGTCAAAAAGTTAAAAGATCTAAGAATTGAACATTTAAGAGTCAGGAAACGAATCATCCATATCCTATTGATTGAAAAAGAAAAAAAAAAAAAAGAAAAAAAAAAAAGAAGGAAAAAAATTGTAGAGGTTGGCGATGAAGAATTGGTTTGAGAGAGGAAAAGAAAGAAGTGAGACAGCGTGGGGGGTTTGGCAATGCGGGAATATTTTTTTTTTTTGGGAGGGAATCAGGGAATTTTTGATATTTTACTTCAATAAAAATACAGTAATAACGAAGTTCCGAAGTACTATTTTGGAATGTCAATATCAGCACCCATAAAAAATAGATATTTATTTTAAATTTTTTTTAAAATAGAGTTTTTATATTCTCTGTCTCCTCTCTTAACGCATAGTACGTTGGTTTAATTTTTATGGTTCATTGGTGTTTAAAAATCTTGTGACATTAATTGCTTGTACACACTTGGGGTATGCCCCTTGGAGGACGAAAAGTTGGGCTTTCCTGTTACAACTCCCACCTTACTACGAGGTGATTGACTGATCCGTCATTCAAACCCAATTCATCCCTAAATGCATGCGGTTATATGGACCTTGTAGTTAACTTGGCTTACATATCTTATCCCATATCTATCATTAATTATCGAATGAGATGGATCATATAAAAGTTGAAGCCATTAACTATCAGTCTCCTCAAATCGTAAAAACATAGATGGTAAATATATATTATATAGAATATAGGAGTTTTTTTTTTTATAAGGCAATAAATGTTGAAGTTATATTTATAGTTGAAGCCATAAACTATCAGTATACTCCAATGAAGAGTGTAGGAACAAACCCTTTTCATAGTTATTAGATTGGTTGCGCGCCTGTGGTTGTCACAGGATGGACAATTAATAGTTCCATAGCACAATAAAAAGCCCTAACATGCGGACCTTCTTGTACTCATCAGAAACATACATAGCTTATTTATCGTCTCCAATGACTTTCCTTGAGTTACTCATATTGCTTCTGTGCCCTGTTGTTCTTTGCTATTGGGGGTGGAGTTTCAGGAGGCACAGAAACTGGCGACCGAGGAAGTGGCGTCTCGTTGGTTTGGTGCGACTTGTTCAAAATGCTCACCGTGTCCATGACCATACAACTGAACTCCTAAAAGAAAGTGGGGGCACATTTGTGTTCAAAGGCCCTTGGTTTGCTAACATGGAGATGTTGGTCACTGCCGACCCTGCCAACATTCATCACATCCTCAGCAAAAACTCCTCAAACTACAACAAAGGCCACGATTTCAAACAAATCTTCGACATTTTGGGAGATGGGATCTTCAACGCGGAGGCAAAGGTGTGGGAAGCCCAACGAAAAGTCACTATGTCGCTGATGAACCACTCAAAGTTCAAGACCTTGTTAGAGAGAGCAACCTGGCAGAAAGTAGAAAAAGGGCTAATCCCAGTTTTTGATCATTTCTCAAAACTAGGAGACTTGGTGGACTTGCAAGAGTTATTTGAGAGGTTCACTTTCGACTGTGTGTCCATATTTGTTTTAGGCCACGATCCCGGCTGCCTTTCCGTTGCCTTGCCACATCTTCCATGTGAAAAGGCATTTGCCGACGCCGAGGAGGCCCTGTTACATAGACATGTACTGCCATTAAGCTGTTGGAAGTTGCTGAAATGGCTTCAAATTGGCAAAGAAAAGAAGCTGAGTATGGCCTGGGAAAGTCTTGATGAATTTCTCTACCAATGCATTTCAAAGCATGAAGAAGAAGAAGCAGCAAGTAAAAGCAAAGCCGAAAAAGTGGAGGATGAGGGTTTTGTTTTGTTAACAGAGTACCTGAAAGCATACAAAGAAAATTTTACCATTCCCAGTGACACCAAGAAGTTTCTAAGAGACACCTCACTGAGTTTGATGGCCGCAGGGAGAGACACCGTAAGTGCGGCCCTTTGTTGGTTCTTCTGGCTCATTGTGGTGAATCCTTCAGCAGAAATCAAAATCCTAGAAGAGATCAAAGCGAATGTGCATGTGAAAGATGATGAGAAATGGTGGTTTTTCAGTGTGGAAGAGTCTCGTAAACTAGTTTACCTCCACGCAGCTTTATGTGAATCTTTACGCTTGTTTCCACCCATAGCATTGCAGCACAAATCTCCAGTTCAGCCAGACATACTTCCGAGTGGACATCGCGTTCATCCAAAGACAAAGACACTGATATCTTTCTATTCAGTGGGTAGGCTGGAGACGATATGGGGCAAAGATTGTCTGGAATTCAAGCCGGAGAGATGGATTACTGAGCAAGGAAGGATTAGAAATGAACCATCTTACAAGTTTCCAGTGTTCAATACTGGACCTAGGACTTGCTTGGGGAAGGATATGACTTTTGTCCAGATGAAGATAGTTGCAGCCACCATTATTTGTAACTATCAGATTCAACTAGCAGAGGGCCATCCTGTTACTCCAAAAGATTCAATCGTACTTCATATGAAACATGGTTTCAAGGTCAGGATTAACAAAAGAAATAGTGTTTGATGAACAACAGCACACTAGAGGGAGGAATGCCATGGTACGTACTTGGCGATGATAGTATGTTTATGGTTTTAGTTTATCTATGTCTATGTAATCACTACAAAATAAAATTATACCAATGGGCTATAGCTAGCCTAGATGGTATAATAGGCTCTAGTTTAAATTGTATAAGCTATCCTTTCCCTCAGGAGGTTATATAGCGATTGTCTACGAAAAAATGTTTGATAATATTATTGTGATTTGAATAGTATTGTGTTTGTTTCTAAAAAAAGAGTTCAAAATCGAAAACTTTGTTTATTTCATATGGTAGCAACAACATAGTATAAATGAAAAATACCACCAAAAAAAAAAAAAACAAACTTCTATACATAATATATATATATATACGCACACTATATGTAACAAACCCGTATTTCTTAGATCCAATACAATGTGAGATTCAAAGATTCACATGTAATAGAAAATAGAAAAGATTCATTATATTAATCTTTGGGGCATTTGTTTCATTCAATTTCAATTCCAAATTGTCATGGCGAGTAATAAACAAGAAACATTTTTGGATTAGCAGATGCCGAAATTTGAGTTCTTCCCAAAAGATTAACAGAATTCAGATTAAGAGGATCGATTAAGAAGAAGATTAATGAATTGAAGAAACAAACATAATCGATGATGGGATTTTAGTCTTAAATGGTTGATTGGTGGTGTTTGGCAGCAATTTGTTGAGGTAGAGAGAAGAAGAGAGATGGTGTTGGTTAGGGGTTGTTCAAAAAATCTTGTAAATCGAAAAACTGGACCAAACCAGATTGAACTGGGCGGTTTGGACTAGTTGTCTAACGGTTTGGTCCAGTCTTGGGCCAAAAATTATGAAACTGTAATTTTTCGGTTCGGTCCTGATTTGGGGTCTTGCTGGACCGGCCCGGCCCGGACCGAACCATTATATAACTTATATTATATATATATATATATATATATATATATATATATATATATATATATATATTCTTTTCAACTTCATAGTGATAAGTGAACTAAGTCTATATACTTTTAGCCATGGCAATAAATAATTATGATAGCTGGATCTCTCTCTTGTTTTTTGAAATTTTGAGTTTTTTTTTTTTTCAATAGCTCGTAAATGTTAAACAAGGAGTGCTGTATTTTTTTCCGTGTGGTCATTTGGTCACTGTTTTGTTTGGTTCTATGGGCATGATGGTTCGGTCTGGTTTTAAAAATAATAGAACCGTTATATAATAGTTTGGTTCCAAAAAAAACCCTAATCCAATCCAAACCGGACCGTGTGCACCCCTAGTGTTGGTAGCGGCCTGGGCGATGGGTAGAGAGGGGGCCGGTATAATGGTCATTTAAGTAATATGATATTTGGGAATAAATGAGATTAAAAAATTAAGGATAAAATTGTCTTTTTATATATTTTTAACGGAGACTGTGACGGAAAAGTAAGAGTGAACCTAAATAGTTATTTTAGAGAGATGTTTGAGAGTGAAAAATGATCAAACAGTGTAACTGAAATTAATTCAATTCTTTAATAATTGAATTTAATTTCTGATTAATGGTTGCGAGTATGGAATGAGATGAAAACTTTTGAATTTAAGATTATTTTGTTTCATCTTAAAAATATAAACATGTATATAAAGGCTGGATATCTACAAGCATATATGCGTATAAGTTGATATATAGATGTGTATTTAATCGAGTAATACCAAAAACATGTATACAAATACATATATGTTTAGTTATATATGTACGCTTATAGATTTTTCTGTGTGTATAATTATTTCGTTTTGTACACCGGCCTATTGGTCATTTTTGTTTCACGTTTGTTTAATCATCTCCCTATTTTGTTTAAACAACAGTTACAACATTACTCATATTGGTGCACGGTTGTAAAATGTCTTTATCTTTGGCTTGTTAATACAACATTATTTGATCTTCTTCATTGATGCAACGTTTGCTGCTAAGACAATTAATGACTTTACAGTAAACACAATTTCATGGTTAACTGGTCATATCCAAACTGACTTTGCATGGCAAAGGTTGTTGGCCTTAGTTATTTGATTGGTTGTATGGGGCTGTCACAAGATTGGACAATTAATAGTTTCATAGCATAATAAAAAGCCCAGCATGTGTTCACAAACATACATAGTTTTTCTTTTTTTCTTTTTTTTTTTTATTTAAAAAAAAAAGGTAAGCTTAAACATATAGAGAGATGTTTGAGAGTGAAAAATGATCAAATAGTGTAACTGAAATTAATTCAATTCTTTAATAATTGAATTTAATTTCTGATTAATGGTTGTGACTATGGAATGAGATGAAAACTTTTGAATTTAAAATTATTTGTTTCATCTTAAAAATATAAACATGTATATAAAGGCTGGATATCTACAAGCATATTTGCGTATAAGTTTATATATAGATGTGTATTTAATTGAGAAATACCAAAAACATGTATACAAATACATATATGTTTAGTTATATATGTACGCTTATAGATTTTTCTGTGTGTGTATAATTATTTCGTTTTGTACACCGGCCTATTGGTCATTTTTGTTTCGCGTTTGTTTAATCATCTCCCTATTTTGTTTAAACAACAGTTACAACATTACTCATATTGGTGCACGGTTGTAAATGTCTTTATCTTTGGCTTGTTAATAATACAACATTATTTGATCTTCTTCACTGATGCAACGTTTGCTGCTAAGACAATTAATGACTTTACAGTAAACACAATTTTATGGTTAACTGGTCATATCCAAACTGACTTTGCATGGCAAAGGTTGTTGGCCTTAGTTATTTGATTGGTTGTATGGGGCTGTCACAAGATTGGACAATTAATAGTTTCATAGCACAATAAAAAGCCCAACACGCGGACCTTGCATGTGTTCACAAACATACATAGCTTACTCATGCATCATCTCAAATGGCTTTTCTTGAGATACGTACTCACATTGCTTCTGTGTTTGTTTGCTATTGGACTACGTTGGAGTTCCAAGAGCGAGGCATAGAAGCTCGCTGCCCACGAATTGGCCTCTCGTTGGTATGGCACCGGGATTTCTTCGAAACAGTACTCACTGTGTCCAAGACTACGTACGCTTATAGACTACGTTTGAGTTCATGTTGGTCGCTGCTGACCCTGCCAACATTCATCACATCCTCAGCAAAATCTTCTCAAACTACGTCCCCAAAGCTAGGCCCCGAATTCACAAAAATCTTTGACATTCTCGGAGATGGCCGGGATCTTCAATGCGGAGGCAGAGTTGTGGGAAGCCCAAAGAAAAGTCACTATGTTGCTCGCTGATGAACCACTCGAAATTCAAAACCTTGTTAGAGAGAGCAACTCGGCAGAAAGTGGAAAAAGGAGGAATTAGTGTAAGATTATTTATTAATTGTGTGGCGCATATGATTTAGATGTGATATATTTTATTAATTACCGGTTAATTTAATAGATATTAGATTAATATTATATTATTTCGTCAACTTATTAATTACCTTTTTGGTAATTAATTATTGGGGAAGTATTTTTTTATTTATTACTTACTTTGATGGAAAGTGGAATAATGGTTACTAACCTTTATAAAAGTGCATATATCCCATCAATTATATACGCTAATGAAAACAATACGTATAATATTTATGTATACAAGAGAAAGAAATCGGTTTCCAAGCTTTGGCTATTACAGTTAAACATGTTGTTCATTCCGCAAAAAGGATCTTGACGTTTACCTTGATCTCTACGAGATTTACTATTACAGATCGAGATATTTATATCTAACTATTTATTTATGCATTATAGATATGTGAAAATCATGAAGTTCTAAAATTTGGGATTAATGTTTATTTGTGATTAATGCTTAACATGTATTAATGAAAGTTTATATGTGATATCAGAACATGGTTTAAGAACTCATTATTTTCTTTTAAAGTTGCATAATTAATATATAATTTTGAATCGACACTATGGATATGTTTGGATCAAGTTTATTAATGCGTTGATTTTGATTTCCGTACATCGATTTCCAAACCCTAATAGTTAAACACTTATTGATACATGTATAAGCATGTATAATAAGACAAAGAAGATGCCTCGTGCCATATATGTCTATTCCTTGATTCCGTGCATGACTAGATAAATTGAGAAAATTAGTTTTGCTTTTGCGCAAATTGAGGAGATCAATTTCAATACTAAATGTTGATTTTTGTACAAACTTATATATATAATTGTATTATATATAGTTAATTACATATATGATACTGGAGAATGGTTTTATATAGTTTTATAGATTGATTTCTTTAATTAGAAATTTGAATTTCTAAAATAATTTGTGAGTCTAGATACTTAATCTTATTAGACACACAAATAAATTATTATTTTGTACCCAAACATACATACAAGATAGATAATCAATTTTAGATTGATTCAATTATGATCTTTACGTCCAAAAATAAAAATTATATGTTTTATTAGGTATATAAAAAGTAAAAGGATATTTTTATTAAATTTTTTAGACTATTAAGTTTCTGGAATCTAACCTACCTAAATTTGGATTGATCAGTATAAGCATGTGTGTATAATGTTAAATGGGTAAATTAATGGGTAAATTAATGATTAATTAGTTACTAACTAATTTAATATTCATATTATGTGAGGGTTAGTAGCTATCAAAGTGGCCTAACCATGATAGTCGATGAATATTAATTTTAGTATTAAATATAATTAACGATGAATTAATCACTACCTAATTTAATATTCATATTATATAAAGGTTGGAAGCTGCTAAAGTGGCCTAACCATAATAGTTGATGAATATTAATTTTAGCAATAGACATAATTGCAATATTTCATGAATAATTGATACTTATGATTTCTTGTGATATTCATGAATATTGAGTTTATTTGACTATGAGAAATAATTCTCCATAAGAAATTGATTTTCAAGTGATTAAATAAAAATTAAGGGTTGTATGTATTTTTTAATGAATGATACTTAGGTTCTCACTAGTGAGAATCTACATCATCCTTACTAGTGATGTGGACCAATAATAAATTACCATCTATGTGATTTGGTAAGTGTGTATTTACCTATTGTGATACCCCTCGGATCCGAGACACGGGTTGATCAGACCCAGGCCCAAACCCGAGGGATATCGAACAATTAAAGTATTTAAAATCGAACACAGAATAAAATTTAAGAATTTAAATAAGAAAACGAAATAAAAATAAAATCCTCCAGATAAATAATTATAATTCAATCCTCCAAAACCTCCAAAGTTACAACTTGGGAATCCAACTAGTGGACCCCTAAAAGAAATCTTAACTGAACTGGAAACTGAAAATAAATTAAGCTAG